TTTGGTTCAGCGAAATTGGACCGGTATAAGGCAAAACCGGTATAGACAATGCCGGTATAGACAGAGTTGACTGTAATTTTTCCTTTTGGTAGGCTTGATCGTTTTTAAGCTTGCACCTGTAGTAATCATAAGTTTGCGAAGGAGTTTTGCTAAAGCATAAACGCGGAAACGAATAACTGATCAAAGTCGTTTAATAAATATTGATAATGATCCATAATAATCTATGTGTTGCGGAATTTATTAACCTCTTAACATTCCAAGATAAGAATTTTTTCAAGGTGTTCCGAGGAACAAAAATAAAGAAAACCAAATAGGTCAAAACTATAAAACAACTACTTATAATAACGATTTTATTCGTTCGCTACTTCCGCTTGCTTTTGCTTATTTTGGTCGGTAAGTCTTTGGATTTGAATTTGGTTGATAGATACCTTCTAATCACGAAAAACTTGTTACTTTATCTAAGAAAGACATATTATTTCACTACAAGACAACCGATCCTTAATTTAGTTTTTCACATTCGAGTTAAAGCTAACATTTCGCCAATGCTGGCAACAGCAGATACCGTGCCCAACACTGATTGAGTTCGCTCTTCTCTCATAACAACGTATTCGGGGCTTGTGGCCATTTGTATAAGAGTGTATGAAATATATGTATTGTTGGCAATACCGAAATGTTGAGAATTATTATCTGTCGGACCGTCGTTCGTCGTGTCGGAATAAAGGTTGGGGGAACCACAGTATGTTTGAAAAGATATTTGGAGCGGACGAGAGCTGTTTACGTGGTGGGCTTTGGCTTGATCGTGATTCGGTGTATTCAACTGCCCATTCGTTGCATTAACAACGTTACCAGTATGGAAATGAGAAACTGGGGAATTATCTTGATATGCATAATTGCCGGTATTTCCGTAGTCCATAGCATTCATAGACACATTACGGGAAGGTGGAAAGGAAGCAGCAGAAGGACGGAAACCCTGAGTATGAGGTTGGGCTTGCGAATTAATGGGCATGTAAATTGGAGGATCGGCGTTATTAAAATTAAAGTCCTGGAAAGACGATTGACAGACGTTGTTATAATGTCTGTCATAATCGTTGTTCATATTATTCGGTTCGCTCATTGTATAAGAGTTTTTCGCGTTTGCTCGTCTTCGTAAGAGCTATATATATATTAATGTCTATAATAAACCAGGGGCCCTCCCTCGTAACACATGAACCCGCTATTATTAGTACAGGCCCCTGCAGGCTTGGACAAGCTTTATGCCCAGAGCTTGCAAAAGAAATTCCCTTGGCAGCATCATCTTTTGAAATAAAGACTTTCCTCATTAGCCTACGCCCGCTGTCGAAAATCCATTGTACTAAATTTAGTTATCTTCATAGTTAGTAAACCCAATTACGAGTCAGTTGGAAAAGGGATAAAAGGGAGACTCGTTATATCGTGACGATGAAACGGAAGCCGCGTTGTTGGTTTGGATTATGTCTACGAGAAAAAGGTGTTGTCCTGGGTTTTATGTGCTCGGGGTATTTGGCCCTTAAAAAAGGCAAAAACATAAAGTTCTATTTTTGATCCACGACAATGAAATCAGCACGTGATTTATTTTTGCAATGATTATCGTTCGTTATGTTGATTACAACCTTTAGTATTAGATCAATTATGGTTTACATCTCTACATGGCCAGAGTTTCAAAAAGCAGTCGAGGACTTATATCTCAACGCTCCTGGCCAAGTAAGTTTGACTCGAGAAAAGAACTTTTGCATCCACTGCATCAAGCGCACGTCTCTATTGCCTATCTACAATCTGCGAATTCAACTTGCGCTCCTTCCATTGCTTTCATTTCACGGCAATTCCGTAGACTCGCTATGTGGTGGACTACTCACATAAAACCGGATTTCTGGTGCTAAAAGTAACCGATGATAGGACATGCTTGAAATATAAGACAGAGAGTGCGCCTGATATGAAAAAGTTTGAAAGGCTGAACAGTATATTAATGACGAAAATGCAAAACCGAAAAGAGAGTGTTGGAAGTGAAGAAGGTAAGTCGTATGGAATGTCGGAGGAGGGGCAACATGAGAAAAGGGCACTTTGTGCAGGAAATTGTCTAGCGTATTATCCGATCTATGATGTTGTATCAGCAATAATAACTAACGACTGCACTCTCATACATTAAAGGTAACCCGACATCGTCAGAAACACCAACAGCACCACCTGTGCATCAGCCAAAACCATCTACAAAGTCTGGGTCAAGTTCAAAGAAAAAGAAAGGAAAAAAGAACCGATAATTGGGTGAAATTGATTATGATTTTGGTTTAATATGGATTAGAGATTCGGCAGAGAGTGTTGGTGAGTGAGGAGAATTACTGTGTGAATACAGTGTGACACAGAGAGTAACATCGGACGTATGTGTATGTATGAAAAAGAGGAGGGAGGAAGAATAGCATGATAACGAGCGGCCGAAACATTGATTGATAGGAGTTATTATTATAGACTCTTTTAAGGTTTTGAGTCAGCTCGCTTCGTCCTTACAGTTGAAACGTTGAATAAGTGCTTTGTGGCATAAGGTAGATGAGATTCGACGTTCGTGTTTAAACTTACTAATTAACGTGATACAATAAATTAATTCTTTGCTCTTGGATTATTATGCTTTTTTATTCATTACCTATCTTTGTAACCATCTGTTCACTGTCTATCCATATTTAAGCAAACATAGTCCAGACTGGTCGTAGCTACAATAGAGTCGGAAGAATCGATCAATGTATTTTCGCTTCCGAGTGTTTTCTATATAGCCACATTTTCCCTACCTATTATTTATCATCTGTCTTATCGGCTGATTGGAACATTCTTAAGTCATGTGATCATGAACGTATGATCGACACACGGACGCGTTTCTTTAGAAATAACTACGGTACTATTTCTCCAGAGAAACTAATATTTCTCCAGAAAATCAACCATGACCAATCAGAATCAGCCTGCCGTCACTTCCTCCACCACAAAACCATGCTGTCCTCGTTCAATATTCTGGACTAATCTGGTGCTGCTTGGATTCGATCCCCCTAAACATGCGGTTGGTACCTATTCAGCCATAGCATTCGACCAGGATGTCTTCACGGGAGTCAATAATGTAAAAGCCATGGAACCCATCGTATGGTTTTTATTCAACAAATTGGATCCGAATAAAGCGAAAAAGGTGGCATTAATTAGACGTGTTTTCAGTTATAGTGACTTCGAATGTACGAGCAGTAGTAGGTTTAAATCATATGTTCAACATTAGAGATTTTCTTCGTGTTGGCCGGTTACAAATCTCGGTCAGAGCAAAGAATTTCGTAACGTAGCATTCAAATGGCTGGAGCAACTCAGGAAAGATGGTTGTCTTGGTAACAACGACCTTGTCATGCGACGAAGCTTTTTTGACGAATGTCAGGGTGAAAGGTGAGTGTAAATGCTACAGAATGCCATATATGTTCAAACTATGTAATAATTAACTCGAGTAACAGGTTTGATCGTATAATCATGGCTTTATCTAATTATGTGGTTACTGTTGTCATGAAGAGAGATTATCGACGATATTCAGAAAGTAGTACGTGCATGGATTTATAGCTGCTTTATAATTTTATTTCAGGTTTACGTTTTAATCATGTGTTTTGTTAACAGTTCCACAGATAAATTTAGAGCTTCGAAGCGAATCTTCTTATAATTTGATAAAGTCTCAGTTGATCGTAAGTGGGTAATACTCGTCGCGTATAACTATTCACCCCTGATATTCAACTCACTACCTAACGCTTTCAAAATTAGTCCCAAATATCTGCCCAGGCACAAAAGTTTGCTCAAGATACTCAAGAGAGGAACGCATGCCAGGCTAGATGGAAGTCTGCAGCGGAGGATTTGACACGTCGGCTTCGTGAAACTATGAAGCAAAGTGTAAATATTTTTAATCTGGTTTTCAAGATTGGGATTTTTTTCATTACTTAAATGCTTAACAAGATGTGTTACTATATTCTGAACAAAAGAACGATCTTCAAAGGGATTATTATGCATTTTATCAGGATAAGAGCGCTCTCGAAAGAATAGAGAATCTGTCCACAGAACAACTTGTTAATATGAGAAGTGAACAAATGGAAAGCGTTCGGCGTTTCTGGACGAGTTGCTTGACGTGGATGTCGGAGAACAAACCATTGACTGGTTAGTGGCTAGACAATTGGACTACCACATTAGCGTTGATATTGACTGATCGACTCTACTTTTGTAGATAACGTCGACGAAATCATTCACGATCGTGCCAATAAGCATCGATTAGATGGCAAGACCATTCCTCTTGATATTCCCGAAATTATGATGACCATGTGGGAGAACCAGTTTCAAAAAGTAGTGAAAAAAAAAAGTTTTGATTTCATTGCTGGATGGCCGTTATTGTACGCCGCCGTCTATTGACATTGACGGGTGTTTACTTTGCATATTTTTTACACATTGGCAGGAGAGAATTAATCCGTATCAAAATGGAAATCTGGATTTGATATCCCTTCTAAAGACATACAAACTATATCTACAGACACTTTCCCAGTGTTCAACACGGAACGACACGATAAATTCTAATCAACCACCGCCGTCCGAAGACAAAGGAGATGAAGGAGCAGCAGTTTCAGATACTATCACATCATTGTCAAAACAAATTTTGCAAGAACAACGGTCCCAGATAAAATCACTATCTTCAATGAAAGCAGCATTGCAGTTACAACTGCAAGATGTCAATGAATCGATTGGCAAGGTTAGAAAGGAATGCAGGTAAGACATACATATGAGCAGCAAAAACGCGTTGGATGAAAACCTTTGCCTTTATTGAACAACAAAAGACTGTTTTGCAAAGTGTAGCACCTTTAACCAAATAATGCAAGTATTCAGCACAAATCTTGGCATTAGTGTAATGGAATACCTTCAAAAATAAACTTGGTCGATTGGCAAGCCTATCGTTTTCAAATGGAGCATATGCCGACAACTAGTTGTGGTGGTGGCATGATGACAGAATCACATGGACATCAATAAAGTAACTATCCAAAGTTACAACGCAATCACTATAAATTAGCTAATATCATGGTCAAGCTTCTCGAATATTCTTAACGCCTTGTTGTGCTCATTGAAATTGATGTGTAAGAGTTTGCTCTTTACGACAAGAGGCGCATTACAACCTCCCCTCCAGAAGTCGAAAGCATTTTTATGGAATAGTCCATTATGAATCATTAGACCAAACTTTCTCATTCTATTAGATCTGTACACTACCAAGAAATTACATCAATGCTTTTAAACTGATGCTAGCGTTGCGTATGCTCCAGGCACAGTGTATTTTGTTAGGCGCCAAGAACTATTTTGCATTATCGCGCCCACAAGTGGAGGGTCAACACAAAATTTTACATTTCAGTAGATGCTACCGAACGAACAGCTAAATTTTAATACGAGAATCAGACGCGTGAATCAACAATGTCGTAATGAACACCATTTTTACTTGCCGCATATTGCCTCTGAATACCAAACTCGTTGTTTACGAGCAATAATCGGATATTTATGTATATTTGTATACTAACTCCGCAATTCTGTCTTCAAGACCAGCAAGTGCCGCTCTAATACTTAAAGCAGTCTCGGGACCAATTGGCAATCAAAATTATTTGGTTTCATACCAGCAAACTTAATGTCATATGTCAGTTTGGAATTGATATAGAAAGTCAAGCAATGTCACAATATATCTTAGTGATGGCAACTGACCCTATTTATAATCAGCCCCTCTATAAGCACATCATATAAAAACCTCTTTATGAGCACACCATGTTTAAGAACCAAATACTATTAAACTTATCCATTGGGAAGGGCGAGGATTGCGATTTTCGGACAAATTTGTAACATGTTAAAAAAATCTTGTGAAATTTATTACCTCTTTATTACAAGTAGAATTTGTTATCGTGAACAACATTAAAAGTTTAACTAATATGTGAAAATTACACTTAATAAGCACCGCCATTATTTTTTTCCAGGACTGTATGGTGTTGGGCAACATTCGAATTATCGTTAAAGCTCCTGTTGTCACCGGTGAGTCATACCAAATTTAGTCAGCTTAATATAGCGTAAGTTTTTTTCGCCGTCTTTGTCATATTCGCCAATAATACCGAATACTTACATAATATTGTGCTTCTTTTTATCGTCAAACCCGCCCACAAAACACATTCGCGTTACCGTAGAGCTACTTACTGGTGGGTTGTAGTAAAATGTAAACGGGATGAACGAGTGGGCTTTTGTTTTTTTTTTTGATATCCATTGCTTCTAATTAATTAAATTAAAATTTATATTTAACATCTGAGGGTATTCTTAATTGAAAAGTATGACTTTGAAATGAAAGCTGAGACCATTAATTTACATGTCAACGAAAGAAACTGTAGTCTGAAAACCAGAAAATGATTCTTATATATATATCATGTTGATAATGTTGCAAATTATATCTATGGGTTTTTGCACACGATTAATATTTACTGTAATTCTTTGCACTTCTTGAACAGAAAAACAATATGCGAGCTAAACTTAAAAATTCAATAAGTTATATCTGCTCATTACTTGAAGATAAAACTTATAATAAAGAACTCAATTACTCAGAAGGAAGTCGAAGAAAATAATAACATTTAGTTTTTGATGAGATGCAAGTTTACAAAGTCCAAATATAATATTGTAAATGCTGCAAATTAAGTTATTGCTGTTTTCAAAATGGTGCGATCATCAAAAAATAAAAAAATTTTTTTGAAAACGATTATGAAAACGATTATA